TCCTCTAACAAACGCTTGAGGGCGACAGATCTGTAAAAATGCAGATCATTCATCAATTCAAATCACTTATAAAGAAAAATTTAAGAAGAACATTATTTTTTTGTTTCACTTATAGTTAGCAAAGCGTGATACTATCTTCGAATTATTTCATCATTCAATGTGTAAATGCTATTCCTATGAATAAGCAATTACAACGACTCTAACAGAAGTATTGAATTCATTGCGGAGTTGCACTTCATATACATTTGTTTTAAATCTATGAAAATCTTCGGGAATGATTCTTGTTTTAATATTCAGTAGACTATAGAAAACAATTTCTATTTATTGAGTTCAACGATGAACTTGTTTATTCAGATTTTAGAGGAAAAATTCATAGAAAGAAGTTAGTGATTTCAAATGACTAAAGTCAATGTTCTTCTTATTGTTGAAAAAATATCAAAATGAATGAAAAATTGTTCTGATCGATACGACATGAATATTGGAGAATTTTTGTCTTTCTATATCTTTAGTTTAATATACTCACAGTTTTGTTGTTCACCTTGGATGTAGATTAGTCGATTCCAATCAATTTGATCATTATCAACAAGGATGTTTTTATTTGTATCTTTTAGAATAAATTGTTGAATTCTTTCCTGGATTTCATTGAGTTTTTCTTTAAGTCGATCAATATCATTTTCAAGAAAGTTTTGTTCTTCTCGTCGACAACAAATTTCCTTTGTGATTGGTTCAAGTTGTTTTGTTATTTTTATTCTTTGTTTTTCAATTAGCTCGATAAGTTCATGATGAGCTCTTTCTGCTGCTTTTTCTATTTTGTTAATTGTTATTTTTTTCCATTCTTCAATTTGAGCAAAAAGATCCAATGATAAATAATTTGATTTTTCTAATTTTTGTATTTGATCAAGAAGTTCATCGTGTGATCTAACTATTTCATTATCAAATGTCACTGACAGTTGCTGTTCATGTTCTTTGACATGCTTCGGACAAAAATATTTTTTACATCCAACGCAGAAGTATTTAGCTGAAGATTTATTGCATATTAAACATAAATTTGATTCATTTCCTGTTGCCATTTATTTCTCTTGGAAGAAAATCTATCGAATTATATAATTTATTCTGAAAGTATCTCGAATAATTTCGATCTAAAATTAATTCATAAGAATATTTATGAAGAATTCAATGTCTAATTCGGTAGGCTTGTTTTATGATACAAAATACATATTGTTCAACTATCTCAAGTGCGATTCAATCTATGCATAATAGAAGCATAGGAACAAGATTATATCAATCTGCAATCGATTCATATGTCTTTGACGTAATAATTACTCAAATCTCGATCAAATTCGATAGTCTCGAACATGTCAAAAGTCCATTTTGAGAACGAAAAATCTTTTGAAATAAATCGAGTTATGTCGATGGAAGTCAGAATTCAATGAAAATATATCAGAGCTAAGCATACGGATTTCTCAATAAATGATAAGAATGTTTTCAATAAATAAAAACTGATTGTAATTTTGTCAAGGATATTTGCTAACAAATATTGCAACATACTTTTTAATATATTACTACTTTGAGACAAAACAGAAAATGATTGAAAACATGTGATGGTTTACGAAATAATATTTGTGCCTTGTTCATTTTGACACCAACATATTCTAAAACTGTTTCGTATTCTTTCATTAGGGAGCACTTTATCCAATGATGAGTTTTTTGACAATATTTGAAAAGACGTCAATGAATGAAAAATCACCAACCACTGCTGCAAAATTCTTCACTTTGAATCAGTTTTGTTCTTAAAGAATGAAATAAAAAACAAAAATTTCACGAATTCTTTTCTTGAATTGTTTATTCGAGCAAACAATACCTCTGTTTTAGTTAAAAGCAGCTAATAACTTCCGAAAATAGTATTATTTCTACTGGCGTATTTGTTTAGGTATCGATATTCAGAAAAAAAAGCAATTACTATCCTCATTCTACATGTATCATTACTATAAAAGTCCATATTAGAAAAAATATTTATATATTTTGCAAGCGCTTGAGATTTTTCACTCGCCGTGTACATTTATGTGCTAGAAAATAAATCGAATGCGATGAAAGTATTTTTATGAGCAGATTCCCACGAAGTTGATTTTATCATTGTCATCAAAGCAAGCTTTTCAAATTTTTCATCAATGTAGAAACACCTTGTTATAAAGCAATGACTTATTGTGAAGACGCTTGCATACTGTTGCTTGTTTAAAAATTTATTTCTATATGGATAATAAACTCAGAATAAAAATAATAATGGAAAAATCGTTTTCTTTCTGATATTCTTCAGACAGCATGATCTACGTAATACTCAAATAATTGTTCAATAAATGACTGCAAAGCAATAGATAACCATGTAAGATAAAAGAGAATCTTAAACGCTATTACAATATGTAATTACTTTTTGAAAAAGTTATTTCTATAGCTACGAAAACCAGAGAAAACTAACTTTTGATAACAATAAGAAAATCAAGTTTGTCAATCTGTTGATGAAAGCCCTTCATTGCACTCTATTCATTTTCTCGAACATAAATATACTATATGGGTGAAAATTCCAAGCGCTTTCAGAATGTATGATTATGTTTTTTTTTAACAATGTGCTTTTATGATGACAATATATTTAAAACACCGATGGCGACTATGTTTTTCTGAGCATATAGAAGAATAATGCATAGCAGCTACAAGAGACGAAATGGTCACAAATATGACTCAATCGGTGTATTTTTTTGCGAAAATATCGACTTTTATTAGGGCTAACTGAACTTGATTTTTCTTTTGTTCTGAGCCAAATAAAAAAGAAATATTCGAAAAAAATAACACTGCTCGAAATTGCAGCAATCGCAATTTCATGTGAGAATTTTGACAGGAATCTATGAGAAAAGCATGTAAACTCATGTGGAAATCATTGTTGAATCGATGGGATCAAAGCGTATAGGTGTGGAGATGTGGCTATCTTATAGGGAGAAGATTTTGGGTTAAGGGTAAAAATTGAACATTCACACCTATACCCTATTACATCATGATCTTTAATGTTTTTTCAAAAGAAAAAGAAGCATTTTTAGTGCTTATACTGGCATGACGCGTCTGTAAAGCAAAATAAATGTGACATTCGGAATCAGCGTTAAAAACTACATCGGGTCAGATACATTTTAGAGAAACACTTGTCCTACCAAAAAATAGGTCTTGGCGTAAAATTTGAATAAAACACCTTGTGAGGATCACAGATTATTTTTCGCAGGAAAAAAATTTTTCTAAAAAATATTTTGATTCAATCTAGTTTTTAACGCTGATTCGGAATGTCACATTTTTTAACTTTATAATCGTGTTGTGGCAATGAAAACTGCTAAAAATGGCTTTTTTTTTATGAAAAATTATCAAATATCATTTGTTACGAGAGAAATGTGAACACCCTTTTGGTCCGCAGATAAACATTTTTTTTCAATATTTTCCCGCATTTTATACAGAATAAAATCTTACATTTTCATGCAATGTTTAGCAAATTTTGTGTAGTGGAAGAATTTATTTATTTTTCAGGAATTTTCGATCTTGTTCGATCATTTTCAACTGTGTTTGGAGTCGGGGGCGTCGTTATGGGAACATTGTCAGAGTTTGTTTTGTGATGGTCGATCATGGGAGTTTTCATTTGAGATAGCCTAAAGGTAAGACTCATTTTTGAGAATGTGTTGGTTTACGTCTGATGTTATGGCGTCTGTGGTTTTATTGTTGTTACGAATGATGTTTGATGAGTTTAGTTTGGCTGCATGAAGTGGTGTATTTTATCTCATGCGTTTCTTTGGCTTAGATTAATTGGGAAAGTTCTTTTTTGTTCTTTTTTTGTGGGAGAGGACTTCAGCTTGTGGGTCTGAAGTTTTGGGTAACAGTTGCAAGGAATTCGAGGGGCAGATAAATTTGGTATTTGCTATCATAGGTTTTCTAATTGGTTGAAATTTGGCGTCTGGAGTCGGCTGAATGCTTAGGGTTACGGCCGGTGCATTTCATTATTGTTCGGCTGTGGAGTACGTTTGGGTTAGGGTATGGGTCAGGAGTTCGGATGATGGAATGTTGAGTTTTATATCAGTTCTATTCTGTGGTTTGGATATGGATCACTTATGGTTGCTCAAGTGAGTTCGATTATCATGGGTAGATTTTGTGGTTTGTTTTCTTACTTTGGGTTCTATTGTGGTGGGGGTGATTATTTTTTTGAGTATAATACAGAGGTTTTGGGGCGGGTCGAATATTATCTAGAGAAGAAAATTTTTTGTTTCTGTAGTTTCTAGGGTATGATACGTGCCTGTTGCAGTTTTAGCATTAGCATTTGCATTCTTGTATTTGGATATTGTCATGTTCTGTTCGACACCATCGGGATAAATATATAGTGGTAATGATCGCTCGGTGGCATTCATTGTTGGATTTTTTCGTTTTATCATTAGCGATTTCTTGATTAATAGCCGATATCGATGATGATCTGCCAGTAATATTTGAAAGTCCTTGCTGGCAAAGACGTGTCCTGTAGAGATATAATGTCTTGATAAGGCTGATTTGGGGCTGGATTCTGTTTCTTGTTTGATTACTGGTGTCGTATTCGTTAATATAGCTTCGATATCTTCCTCGTCCAGATTTTGTTTGATTGCCTTGAGTTTATTTGTTTGTGAACTTGTCATATGAACCTTCTTTTGAACTTTGTTTGCATTTGATGAGCTGATTGGTTTTTTTTATGTTAGATTTTAAGTTTGAAGGTTTATGTAGCGATGTTCTTTGATTTGATGACTGAGCAGTTGCTTTGGAATTTTTACTGGCAATCGTTATGTTTGATGATTGATGTTGATTTGAAATTGTCGTTGATGGATTAGTTGTTGGTGACATAGCTTTTTTCTGATCTGATAAGTGTTCATTGATTCGTGTTTGAAAATGGCAGCAGGTTTTACCAACATATTTTTCATTGCATAAAGGACAAGTTGCCTCGTAAACAACGCTCGATTTTAATTCAGTCTGTATTTTATCTTCAGTAGTAAAATGTTGGCCGATTCGAGCCTTTACATCATAAACAACTTGCACTTTCTTTAATGGATATTGTTTAGCCACTGCCGCCATAACACGTTTGCCATATATTTGACTTGGTTTCCCGTAATACTGTATTCTTAAGACGATAATATCTGTATCAGGTGTTGGTGGTGTCGTTGGACGTGGTGCATATATCGAATTTAATTTCCTTTGAATCACAGATTCAACGAAGACGTTTGGGTACCCATTTTTTAGTGCTAGTTCACGAATGAAATCGAATTCATCATGGAGAGCTAGATATGTTGAATAGATCTTGATGGCTCGATGAACCTCAGATGAAATCGCATTAAATTTGTACGATTTGGGTACAAAACTGTTCCATTTCGTTATCAAACCGGAAAAGTGTCTTTTCGATAAACTTTTGTCTTGAATCCGACACCGGTTTGTCTTTGAGCGAGAGCATCGAGAAATGTGATGGAATTTGCTTCGACATCTTCTTTTGCAACGGTAAATTTGATAGAGGCATGGCATTTGGATAATTGATCACAAACATAATCTGGACAAACTCTTGGGTGGAGTAACACAAAATTATCATCGACGTAACGTTTCCAATAACCAATGCCCATTAAATCAAATAATGGTAGATGTTTCTTTTCAAATTCTTGCAGAAAAATCTCTGCAAGAAGAGGAGCTAAAGGTGATCCCATAGAAACTCCATCTACTTGATCATAGATTTTACCATTGAAGATGAAATGAGACTTTTCCGTTACAAATTCCAAAAGTTTCTTCATGTCATTCTTTTTAATTGTAGGTGGTGGTCTTTCATCGTTATATAAATGCTTCAAAATAATGTCAATTGTTTCGTTAACAGGTATATTTGTATAAAGACTTGTAATATCAAATGATACCATTTTGTATTTTGAAGCCGATTTTGGTAATGATCTTAATTCATTGACAAAAGCAAACGTATCCTTAACGATCACCTCGTTTTGTATAATGCTTGACAGCATTTGTTTCAGAACCTTAGCAAGACCATAATTATATGTACCGATGGAAGAACGAACTGGCCGAAGAGGCATATTTTCCTTATGTATTTTTGGCAACCCATAGAGTCGCTCAGGATTGGATCCAGTCGGTCTGGTCATATTATAGAATTCTTGCGAAATATGACCATTTTTCTTTAGTCTATACAACAAATTTGACAAGCTACGTTCTCTTTGGATGGTAGGATCACCAAAAAGACAACGAAACTTAGTTGAATCATCAAGGATAGCGTTCATTTTTGACAAATAATCACTTTTGTTCACTAAAACAATTCCTCGACCTTTATCAGGACGAGTAACAATAATGGATTTATCTTGTTTTAATGACTTCAGCAGTTGATAATATTGCTGTTGCTCACCACGAACCATATAGTGTTGTTTCCGGTATCGATTAGCTTGGTGTTGGAAAGTGTCAGTTAAACTACGTAGATTACTCGTCAAAGTCATTTGCATAGTATTGAGAACACGAATGTCATTGAGTATGACTTTATCTTTGTCTTTCAGGTCAGCCATAAGCTTTTTATGATGTTGAAAAATATCTGGAACGTGATGGGAAAACTGTTCAATATTTCCCACAGCGCCCATCTCATCAAAACGTCGTGACACTAAGCCATAATCAAGACCATTAGCAAGACAATCGATTTCATCATCCAATAAAATTCGTGCCGAGAGATTCTTGACAACTTTCCGATCGACATAATATCTTTGTTGAGTACAAAGAGAATGACCAAATAGTTTACGCTCAACTGTTTCTTCCTTTTCTTTGATAATAGGACAACAAATGGTAGTAATTATTTGTTGTATTCTCTCAAATAAATCTCCGAAACAATATTGTTGAAGTAAACTAGCTGAATATCGGTACATTTTCTTGAGTCTATTAAGATGTTGATATTTGTAGTTGATCTCAACATTTAACAAACGACGTTGACTATCTTTATAAGCTGATGATGAAGCTAGATTTCGATTAGCAGTTTTGAACCATAGAAATTTTGGAATTATATCTTTGGCTCGACAGGACTTGAGAAAACGAATATCTAACCGAACTAGTTCAGTACGAAGATAGAATTTTTTAACGGTACGGTAGGTAAGTAAAATACGACGATCGTAATTGTCACGGAGATAGGATTCAACGTTGTCAGCATTCATGAATATCAATTAAACGTATAACGATAAGAATAGACTTTAATGTACTCTTTCAATATGAGTATCTCTCTCGTAGTACAATCTGAAATTCCTTCCTAATGTCTATGACAAAAGGTCGAAAGATATGTACTGTAAAGAGAGAATCCTCAATCAAAAGATCATACTACCCTTTTACGTCATAATATAATAATGATTACAAAACTAATAATTATATTACTAACTAGAAAGGAAAATAAATCTAATACTACTCACTGAAATAATAATACTGATGATCACGTTGATTCGACGTTAATAGGAAATTAATCTAAGCCAAAGAAACGCATGAGATAAAATACACCACTTCATGCAGCCAAACTAAACTCATCAA